CTGAGAGGGAAGTGGATCAAGCTCTGAAGGCTTCTTTTGTCAAGAAGGACCAGAAGCAGAATAGACATGGTGATAAATTCCAGAAGTCAGAAACCTCAACTTCTGATGAAAAGAAATATCAGAAGGGAAAGGAAAGGTATGACAAGAAGAAGGTTCAGTGTTACTGTTGTAAACAGTTTGGCCATTTTGCCAGAGACTGTAGAAACAGGAAGGAAATCAGAAGAAGAAAATATAGCCAGAGAAGACTCTGATGATGAACTTGTGCTACTGATGGCTTCTGATTCTGATGGAAATTGTTCAGGAGATTGGTGGTATATGGACACTGGTTGTTCAAACCACTTGAATGGAAACAAACAATGGCTGATAGATTTTGACTCCAGAAGGAGAACAAAGATCAGATGTGCTGATGATAAGTACCTTAATGCAGAAGGTATGGGAAATGTTAGAGTCAGAGTGAAGAATGGAAGAAACATTCTGATCAAAAACATCTGGTATGTTCCTGGAATTAAAAGCAATCTGATGAGTGTGGGTCAGCTTATTGAGAAAGGTTTCTCAGTGGTTATGAAGGATAATCTCTTGACGTTGTATGATTCTAATCAGAAGTTGATTATGAAGTCTGAGCAGGGAAGCAACAGAACATTCAAGGTGAATGTAGAAACCTATGAAGCGGAGTGTCTTAGTGCAGAAGGCGCTGAAGCTGACAGTAAGCTGTGGCACAAGAGGTTGGGGCACTTGAACTATAGAAGCTTAGGGCATCTAAGTTCTAAGAAGCTCGTACATGGCATTTCGAAGATTGTGAAGCCTCAGAAGTCATGTGAGATATGCATGAAAGGCAAGCAACCCAGATTGCCATTTGCATCAGAAGTAGCCCCCAGAGCAAAGCATGCTCTGGGAGTAGTACATTCTGATGTGTGTGGACCATTTCCAGTACCTTCACTTGGAGGAAACAAATATTTTGTGTCTTTTGTGGATGAGTTCACAAGAATGACATGGGTAACACTCATCAAGTTCAAGCATGAAGTGTTTACTGAGTTTCAGAAGTTCAAGGTGAAGGCTGAGAAGCAGAGTGGTCAGAAGCTGAAGATTCTGAGAACAGATGGTGGAGGTGAGTATAACTCTACATAGTTCCAGAAGCTTTGTGAGGAGAATGGAATAGAACATGAGGTTACTGCTCCATATACTCCTCAGCACAACGGTCTTGCTGAAAGAAGAAACAGAACTTTGCTTGATATGACCAGAAGTATGTTGAAAGAGAAGAAGTTACCTCACATGTTATGGGGAGAAGCTGTTGCCACATCAGCATATGTTCTGAATAGGTGTCCAACAAAGAAGCTGAAGGAAACTGTTCCTTTAGAAAAATGGACTGGAGACAAGCAAAGTGTTAGCCATCTGAAGGTGTTTGGTTCTGTATGCTACAAACACGTTCCAGAGGCTAGAAGACGAAAACTGGATGATAGAAGCAAAACAATGTTACTAGTGGGGTACCACAGTACAGGTGCCTATAAGCTTTATTGTCCAAAAACCAACAAAGTTGAAATCAGCAGAGACGTCATTATGAAAGAGTCAGAAACATGGGATTGGAACAAGCTTCAATCAGATTCTGGTGTAGTGCCAACACCAGGATTAGTTTCTGAAAGTTCTGAAGACGAGTCAGAGTCAGAAGATGAAGACTCTGAAGATGAGTCAGAATCTCAGGGAGATTCTGATAGTGGATCTGATTCTGATCCAGATTCTGATGATGATCCAAAATCTGGTGGTGATCATACTTCTGGAAGGGAAAACTCTGAAGACATGGGGCCTGGAGAACAAGTTTCCAGAAGTAACTCTGAAGGTGGTAATTCTGAAGGAAATAATTCTGGACAAAGTCCAGAAGCCAGCACAGTTCCGAGTTCTGGAGAAGCTTCAGAACAAGATCAGAGGCCACCGAGAATCAGACGAATACCAAGTAGGTTTGCAGATTTTAGCATGTTGCATGATACTGAAGTAGATTCTGAAGGAGAAATCGTTCAGTGTGCCATGCTAGTAGATTCTGAACCAGTGGGTATTGAAGAAGCACTCAAGAAGAAAATATGGCTGAATGCCATGAAAGAAGAACTTAAGGCTATTGAAAGAAACAAGACTTGGAAGTTGACAGAACTTCCAAAAGGCAAGAAAGCCATCAATGTCAAATGGGTTTTCAAGCAGAAATTAAAGCCAGATGGATCAATTGGCAAACACAAAGCGATACTAGTGGCCAGAGGTTTTCTTCAGAAACCTGGACTAGATTACTTTGAGGTGTTTGCGCCTGTAGCTAGACACAAAACAATCAGACTGGTGATTGCTTTAGTTGCAAACAAAAATTGGCCTTTGATACATCTGGATGTGAAGTCTGCATTTCTAAACGGTCCATTACAAAAAGAAGTTTATGTGTCACAACCTCTTGGATTTGTGAAAAAGAATCAGGAAGGGATGGTATACAGGTTAAATAAAGCTCTGTATGGACTGAAGCAAGCGCCCAGAGCTTGGAATTTGAAGATTGATTCGTTTTTCAAGGAACAAGGGTTTCAGAAATGTGAGATGGAGTATGATGTTTATGTTCAACACACTTCAGAAGGTAATATGATTCTGGTCTGTTTGTATGTTGATGACATATTACTCACAGGAAGTTCTGAACAAGAAACAGTTGAGTTCAAGAAAGTTCTGATGAATGCGTTTGAGATGACAGATCTTGGAAAAATGAGTTTCTTTTTGGGAATGGAACTTATATACTCTGAGAAAGGAATCATCTTACATAAGAAGAAGTATGAACTAGAGCTTCTGAAGAGATTTGAGCTAGCAAATTGCAAGATTGCTATCACACCTGCTGATACGAATCAGAAGTTGGATTCTGATTCTGATGAAGAGGATGTGGATGCTACAACCTTCAAACAGATGGTTGGTTCTCTGAGGTATTTGTGTAATACCAGACCTGACATTTGTTATGCAGTTGGAATGGTCAGCAGATACATGAGCAAACCAAAATGGTCTCACTACCAAGCTGCTGTCAGGATTTTGAGGTATATAAAAGGAACTCTGAAATATGGAGTGTTATTTCCTTCTGGAGGAAAGATCAAATCAGAACTTCAGAGTTATTCTGATTCTGATTGGTGTGGAGATAGAGTTGACAGAAGAAGTACTTCTGGGTACTTGTTCAAGTTTCTGGGAGGTCCAATTTCTTGGAGTTCCAAGAAACAACCGGTTGTGGCTTTGTCAACATGTGAAGCTGAACACATTGCAGGTGCTGTAGCTGCGTGTCAAGTAGTTTGGCTTCTGAATCTGCTGCATGATCTGAAGGTTGAAGTTGAGGAACCTCTGAAGCTGATGATTGATAATAAGTCTGCAATTAATCTTGCAAAGAATCTAGTGCTACATGGAAGAAGCAAGCACATTGAGACGAAGTATCACTTTCTCAGAAGTCAAGTGCAGAAAGGAGTGTTAGAAGTTCTGCACTGTAGCACTCAGAAGCAGCTGACAGATGTTCTGACAAAGGCGATAAAAACAGACCAATTTCTTCGTTTGAGAGATGAAATTGGTGTTGTTAACTTCTGATAAGTTATTAAATTACGGGATGATATTAGAGGGTAATTTAGTATTTGTCATTTGTAAATATTCTTGATTAGGGCCTATGTGGCATTCTTATTTGTGTATAAATAGGTGTACTAGGTTTACATTTATACTCCCTCCGGTCTCATTTATAAGAAAAAATTAACTTTTTATATACATTGAATAAGTAATGTATTTGGACAATATATTGTCCAAATACATTACTTATTTAATGTATCTAAAAAGTTAATTTTTTCTTATAAATGAGACCAGAGGGAGTATCAATCAATTCCTTCAATCATTAGTGGCAGCTTTTAGCATTTATTCTTTTTCTCTCTTCTTCCTCAATTTCATCACCTTGCACTAACAATTTAAATACTCGTTTAGTAATGAATATGAATACATGTTTAATGATACAATGTCTGCGGATATCCGTATCCGTTAATAAATTATAAGAATTACTTAAATATTAATTTATTATACTATGACTTATCTTCTTCTAAAAAAACTATTTTTTTTAAAGTTTTCTTTGAAGAAAATCTTTAATATTCCATATAAATCATATTGACTATTTTATATTTAAGTTTTTTCTTTACTCCATACCCCACGTCAACAATTTCACATTCTAACCAACCATTTCCCTTGTTCAATTGATGTCTTTCTTTCTACTCCTTTATTGTTCGTTCTTTCACCATAACTCACAATCACATTGTCTTTCAGTTTTTTTAAAAATGAAATGTATGAATATTATATTTTGGTGAAAATAAAGAAAATTAATGTGATATATATATATTTTTTTAAATAAGAGAGATTTGTATGCATGTTATATGATAATAACTTAATGTGTCTTTAAAAGAATTTAAAAATATTTTTTTTTCAAAAAAAAATTTAGAAAAAAATATTATTTATAGATATCTGTCAATATCCGCGGATATCTACAAACCCACAAGTATCCGTTTAGCGAATACCCGCACAAATATGAAACGAATATAATATTTATTCAACGGAACATACTCAAATATCATACATCTATAATACCCGTAACAATAATGAATTAGGGTTAAGATTTTTTTCAATTCCGAATCTCCCTAATTAAAATTCAATTATTTTAGAATTATTCAAAAGGAAAATATTTTTGACAACTCATTGATTCAAAGAGAATTTTGTATTTGGATTTGTGGAAAAAAATCTAAAATCTAAAGTGTGAGAGGTGAAGGACACACGTGTGAGAAGCTATGTGAAGAAAACCTCGATCATCGTCTCGAAACCCTATCTCGCTTCCCGTTCCTAACTTGTACCAATCACTTTGCCCCCAATTCTCAACCCTAACCCTAAAACCGAACTTTCTCATGAAATTCCTCTCGCAATACTCCACCATCATCTCAGAATCAGGTTCGATTCCATAACCCTCGAAGAATCTTCTCCTCTCTCGAGTTTTCATGGAGGGCTCTACAGAGGATCTAGGAGCCCCGGAGTCATGGGAAGTTGCCGATTTGGACGACTCCATGAACCGCTTGAACCTTTTGATATCTTCCAGCAAAGATTCCAAGGCTCACGACCACACCGACGCTGCTTCGCCGCATCCTCCTTCTGCTGCTTCTTCTTCTTCTTCCGCCACTGGGGATAAGGTCTTCGATGATGCCGTCAATCAGGTTGATCAGTTCCTTCGTGAAGCAATTCAAAACCCCCGTGAACGCCTTTCAGGTAGGTTTACATATATCGATTGCTTTAATCAATACTTATATGAACTATTGCTACTTCGATTGTGAATTACAGTTACTGTATATATTTGGACGCGAGTTTTGAGTATGTTTACTCTATCAGTGCTCTGAATTATAATTAAGGGGTTATTTTAGATGCTGATTACTTGGTGTGTGTTTGAATTGATTTTGACAAAATTGATTTTGACAGAATTGAGTTTGGTAGAATTGATTTTAACATAATTGATTTATATTTGGATACATTTATGTAATAGTGAGTTAAACAAGAAGTGTAAAAATCAAGTTTAAATTCAGAAGCCACAAATTTTAGCTTTAAGGAGAATTAATTCTGGAGGCAAAATCAATTCTACTTTAGAGGAACCAAACACTTCAAAATCATTCCAGAATCAATTCTACTCCTCTAGAATTGCTTTTGGCTCTTCCAAAAGCCAAACCTAACATACTATTATACATTTATAGCTGTTGTATTTACTATAGTGCTAGTATAAGTATTCAGTGCCAGCATTCTCTATTCATCTTCGTATGTAGCTCTGTCACGTGAAGATGAATATCCAACTGAGATGATTCTTGACGTAACTTTGAATTTGGGCTGGAGAATGTAATTTGTAAGTACTGATTTCTAGCAGAGATTTTTTGTCTGTTGCTTTCTGATTTAGATGGATAGATCTGAAATAGTGGGATATTAATATTTGTTATATATGACGGAATGAACTTGCTTCCCACATGCATATAGATGATGCAGAAGACATAGGTCATTTTAAAATTTGATGCTTGAATGTTCTATGGTTATTCTGCGATACATGCTACTGATCTAATGGCATTCGTATGCAATTATGATTGTGTTGTTTGGATATTACTTGTTTTAGATTAATTACGCCTTATGTTTTTAAAAGATCTTTCTTGCTGGACTGATTAAGTTTTTATGATATGATTTATCCAGTTTTACGGATGGAGCAAGATGTTCTGAATTTTATTCAAGATCCTAATCAGCAGCAGATTGAGTTTAATCAGCTTCCAACATCCTATTTAAGGTTGGCTGCACACCGGGTGGCTCAGCATTATTCATTGCAGTCAATGGTTTTACAGGATAATAATAGTTTACCGGATGGTTCTGGGTCAAGAATTATTGTTCGCAAAACTGCTGAATGTAAGCTTCCTGTTATTCGCCTAGCAGACATCCCAGTAAAATTTCCATCAGAAAATAATGCTGTAATGAAGGTTGCAATCAAATCGAGGCCACAGAAGCAAACACATGTTCTTAACAATGCAAATTCAAACTCGGGGAAGAAAAACAACTCTAAAAGTGTGGAAGAGAGAAAAGAGGAGTATAATAGGGCTCGTGCTAGGATCTTTAGCTCGAGTAATAATGGTGGTACAGTGGTTGGGAAGCCAGAATGTGAGACAAGGCAGCTGGATAACTCATTGCATGGTTCCTGTGGTTTTACTCGTGGGGAAGATAAAAATGCTTCCGTATCTGATGTTAGTTCCAGTAGGGGGGTGGTTGGTTCTTCAACTAATACCTGGAGGGGGCTGGTTGAGCCTTCAACATATACCAATAGGGGGCTTGTTGAATCTTCAACTAATATCAGTAGGGGACTGGTTGAATCTTCAACTAATATCAGTAGGGGACTGGTTGAATCTTCAAGTAATACCAGTAAGGCTAGAAGTAGGACAGAGAAGGAGTCAGTTGGTAGGTACAGGCAAAGTAACAGGGTGGCCATATTCCGGGACCGTGAAATTGACCGCAAGGATCCTGATTATGACAGAAGCTATGATAGGTACGTGCACCTTTTACCACATTATTTAGTGATGCATTTGTCTGCCAATATATGCTGACCTTGTTGTCTTGTTCCCCTCTCGAATAAATAGTCTGAGTTTACAGTCATGAATGATTGATACCGTCAGTACTGTTAGTATAAGTGTGACTTGCATTTTTATATGTAATTTCCTATTCAGATCACACATTAGTTAATATTTTCATTATAGAATGCAGACAGAATATTTTGTATCAACATTTTTTTCTCTCGTTAAACATTTTTGTTTTCTTCCAAAATAAAAACATCAAAAAAATCCAAAATCACCACTTCTCATTCCTGGGTTTAACTTATGACATGGCTGAATTAATCTCCCGTGGACATTTACAAGACATTAGCTAAGTTAAGTAGATAACCCTTCTTTCATATTGAAGAATTAATTTTGTATGTGCTTTCTAGTTCGAATGAATAATTGATAATTTGCTTCTGTTACAAAGTATTTCAGTCTTGTTTGTTTGTAACAGTGTTGTTAGTGGTGCTACAGCACTACTCAAAATTTCTAAAAGATCACTTTTGTTAAGTAATGCACTGATTTAGTACAAAGTGTTGTCAAATAAAGGCACTATAGGTGCTGTGGCATAGTTGAATTTGAACACACTGCTATTTTCTGTAGTATGTGATTGACAACACTGGTTTGCAGATGTTTTTCAAACCTATGATGTAGATGGCATCTTGTTTTATTTATTTTAATATTTAAATACGATACGATAGCAACAACCTATAATATTTCTTCATAGTTATATATATATTTTTGCTATTTAGTATAACGTGAACTGCAATGTGTGAGAAGAGAGAGAAAAATAGAAATAAGGTGCAAGAAAATTTGGAAGAGAGGAACACAAGGATGGAATTCCCTTTGTAACTAAATGTCCGTGCAAAAGTTATGAATTGTTTTTCGTACTGAGTGGTTACTATCCAATGAAAATGTAAATTTGTAGTCACTATATGATAGTAAAATTTGTCTGTGGGCCGTGTCCATTATATTGGCTGAAGTCTCTTGTGTTACTTATCAACATCTGTTATTTTGTATTCAGAAGTCATATTATAAAGAGCCGCTTCTAGCTATCAGCAGTGATTACAGATTTAATGTTATATATTCTTGTGATTTTTTTGAGCCTTTAGCCCCATTTTTTTAGACAGGTATATAGTGGATTATACTCTGAAAAGGAAGGGATCCACATTCCAAATACATATGCTAGAAAAGATAGAAGATTTGTTGTAGTTGCCAATACATTGGCAATTTATTGATAAATTGTTAAGGGGATTAATAAAAAAAGAAACTCAGAATTTTGAATAGTCTCCAGGGTTTCTAACTTATTATAATTTACCAAATGGGTTTTATTTTACTTTTTGGTTTGTTCTGTCTGTAAAACTAAAAAATTTAAAAAAGATGAGATATGGTTGGAGTATTGATTGATCTGATCCATTATTCTTCTGACGTGCTTGGCAGGTATATGCAAAGATTTGATCCTGGGTTTGGATTCAGTGGTGGATCATACCCAATTCAGCCGATGTATGCACCGGTATTGAATTACAACACTGAGTTCCCACAGCTTGGATCCCCTCATGGCCCCCAACGATCAGCTGAACACCAACCACGCCCTCTTCCGCAACATATATCTGGGCAGCATATATCAGGGCAACATATATCAGGAACTTGGGTTGCACAATCAACACCTGCTGGAATTGGATATGGACATCCAGAGACCATGATGTCACCATTTAATCATAATCAAGTTGGTGCACACTCTTCATCAACCATGTATTTGCATTCACCTCAGTATCCCTGTCAGCACCCTGGAATGCCTTTTATCCATCCCGAACATATTCGCCAGCCCTTTGCACAGGTATAGGAAGTTACTAAATCCGCTATTTGTTATATTAAAAAGCTCCTATTTGTGATTGACCGAGTCCTAAACTATGTTTTATCAAGGTGCATAATTTTCATGTTCAGAGCATCTTTTATACTACAAGAATTGAAATGAAGTAATTATAAAATGTTACATAAAGCTTTAGGAAAATAAACCTTCACAGTTGAAGACAAAAAGAATTTGTTAATGGTTGTGTTGTATAGTGTAGGCTGTATATAAAATCCATGTCCTAGGGGTATCAAAAAACAATCTTTTCACTAAGCATATATAATAAAATAGAGTGATAGGTCCACCCCGAAAGGGGTACTAACTAACAAGCTGAGTCCTCTCCGAACTGCAGGAGGTAGCTGTTAATTTTTTTAGAGCATGAGGAGTGTGATGGAAATTCTTCCCCTAGCTGCTTAATTGCGGCATTTGGGTTTCCTTTATTGCAACCTCCAACACTTTCATTGTGTTGGGTATGGAGGGGGTGGATTTAGTTCCACATTACTTAGAGATATGGTTTGTGTAGTTTTTATAAAGCTTGTGCAGCCCGCACCAAGGTAGTCAGCATCAAGATTCTACACGGGAGCAGGGAAGGGGGGTCACAAGATCGTGAATTGGAGGAATGTAACACGGATTTTAAGATCCTACCAATTTCACAAACTCACATACAACTAATGCAGTGAATATTAAAAAATTATGGAAAATATACAGCAATTTAAATGATTTTTATCATGCCATTGATAAATTATTTTGCTTCACTTTTTATTAGAATACACTTGCAAAATTGTTTTCTGTATGATATTCTGGCTGGTGTGATTAGTCGTTGATGCTGGTATGATTAAGCACTGCATTGTCCATCTTTTTTGCACTTTACAATGTCCGTTTTTCCTCATTTCATACTGCATAGTTCAATATGCTGATTTGCCAAAATTTTACTTCCATTTTGGCAGCTGCTGTTTGTGAATATTATCCTTTAGCTTTTCATTTAGATCTTCTAATTATTCTCTTTTATGTACTTGATCTGCAGTCTCATCAACCACCACCTGAAGCAAATTTTGGATTGGCCCGGCCCCGATGAGGGGCATAGGCCATGCCTGCACCCAATCAGCCCGGGCTATATAATGCAAGATGACGGTCTGCTGCAGCAACAGATCTCTTTCAGCTGATTGGAGTGCAGGCATGCAGGCCGAGTTTGGCTGGAATGGATTCATGTATTTCTTAAAAAACCAACTCAAACAATGATCCATTCCTCTAATCTCGGTTTATGAAGGATGCTTCTTGCATCTTCTATGAGTTCCATGACTATGTTTCTCCTGTGGACATTTGATATTTTGTGAGGAGCTTTTGGAGCACACACACAATGCTGCTCATGAAGAAGAGTGAACTGAGGACTTCTGTAGAGCCATATAAGTTTGTGCTTGACTTGGATGAAGGTATGTTGAGCTTAACCTATTCTGTGGCATTTAGTTCTTCTTGAAACGTGACCGAGTCATTCTTTCCTCTGCATGTTGAAGTTCACCTAATTCATTTCTTGAAATTGGGTATACGAATATAGTGGAATCATCACTGGGACACTTCAACATTGCATTGGTAAATAAATTTCCTTGCACCTTTGATGCTGATTTAATTGCAAAACCAATGTTATGTTAACCCGATCAAGTTACCTTTAAAGAATGTGTATATCGATTAGTTGTTGTGTGTTTTTGTCAGCTTGAGCTCCCCGGAAGAGAGCTAAAGGGATTCAATCAAATCTTGCTTGGCGTCACTTGCCTTCAGATTGCAGGAACGTTTGTGTTGAAGATTTAACTGGAGTTTTATAGCTCTAGTTACTATTCCCTATGTACTTCATAGTCCAGCAAGTAATCGGTAACCTCATGTATGGCTAACTTCTGTGGATGAGTTTGTATATTTTACTCTCTTCATACATTTCTTCGTTCGTTATTTACTATGGGTTAACACTTTTTTTACAGTGGTCTTTTCACATGTGGATTGTTTGCTTACATTTTTTTTTACCTTTTATGTAGTTTTTGGTAAATTTTTTTTTTGGTAAACAACTCATGTATTAGATAAATAATGGAGTACAAGGACTGGAAATTAGTCGAGTCAAACTTGTCTCAGTTGGTTTGACTCGTTAAGAATTGGTTTAGTTCAAATCTCGGTTCGAGGTCAACACGAACTTTTTTTTAAACTCAAACTCTCAAACTCAACTCGTTATAAGTTTACGAATAACGCGGTTCGACTCGTTAGATTTAGGGGTGAAAATAGGTCAGACTGATAACAGAGGCCTAAGGTCTAGCCTACATAGGTTCAGGCTACAGCCTAGCTTACGTAGGTTCAAGTTAGACTTAGGTTTTTTTATAAGTCTATTTAGTTAAAAATGTTAAGTCTCAGGCCATGAAAAAAGCCTTTTAGGCCTAACAGGCCAGCTTATATAAATAAATATGAATAATTTTTTTATTATCATTATGTTATCTTTTGTACTTTGAATCCAAATATATAAATAAAATTTAGTTATTTTAGAGAACTTGTGAAAATAAGATGAAAACACCTTAGGAACAATGTTATAAGATGTTTTCACAAGTCCTCTTAAATAAATAGTCTCACAAAATTTATGTTAATTAGTAAGTTAAAATAAATTAATGCAAACAAATTTTTAATCTCATTGTTTTTTTAATTTGTTAGTTTATTTAAATATTATTTAAATTGTTTATTTACGTATGTCTAAAATAATAGACTTTTATGTCTGCTAACAGGCTAACCAAGCTTTAGAAAATGTCAGACTCATGCCTAAAAATAAATCAATGACAGGCTAGCCTTAGGTTTCAGTTTTTTTGACAGGCTTAAGCTTGACAAAGTCTAGCTCGGTCCAGTCTATTTTTATCCCTAGTTAGATTCAATTTACTTCATGGATTTAAAAGCCATTTTTTTAATCTAACTAATAATAAATGATATTTAGTGGTTGAATTTTTTGTTGTGAAATGTTAGATAACTTAGAAGAAATTAAGTAGGTAGGTTCTTCTCTTGATATTAATATAAATATATATCATGGCAACAGGTAATAAGTGTTTTTCAAAGCTAAAGAGATTTTTTAGTGTTTTCTTATAGTCATTGTTTTTTCCGAAGAAGGGAGTGTCAAAATGAATTTGAAAAGAATTTTTTTTTGTTAAAAAACATTGGACATCTTTGATTTAGGAGAGATCTTTCTATTCCTTAGGGTTGATAGTTAAACGTTTTGTTTGCAAAGATGACTTATCAGTTGTTGTCCTAGATATATTTGTATTAATATCAAGAGAAGAATCTACATACTTAGTTTCTTCTAAGTTATCTAACCTTCCACAATAAAAAATTTAGCCACTAAATGTCATTTATTATTAGTTGGATTAAGAAATATATCTTAGTTTTGGAACCAGGCTTTGATACTAGAAATTGCAGTTTGAAATGGAAGCGAATTGAGAGCGGAATTATAAGTATTTTATGGTAGAAAGAAAGCAGAGTATATATAAAAACTTTGTTATATTCAAAAAATTTGTGCTTACAAAGGAAATAAAAATTCCTTTATATAGGGATGCAAAAACTTACTATTTAAGTCGATAATAGCTACCTATGATAGTCAGTAACAAGAAACAAAGATGAATTATTAGTGTCGGGTACACACTGAGCCCCATCGACACAAAATAATCCACAAATAACAATTTTTTTTAAAGTAGACAGAAGATTATTTTTTATTGTTTCAAGATAAGATTCTCTCTTATCTTTGTATTTGTCATTATTGCTTCTAGATAGTTCTTGTCATTGCTTTGTCTCTTGTCATAGTTTTATTGCCAATAAGATTCTTTTTTATTGTTTCAACATAAGATTGTCTCTTATCTTTGTGTTTGACATTATTGCTTATGGATAATTCTTGTCATTGTTTAGTCTCTTGTCATAGCTTTAGCCTTGGCTTTTTCTTTAGTCTTTTGAGCCATAGATTGAATCATAGCATCCCAGAAGTCTTCAGATGTGGGATCATCATTTTGAGCTTCTCCAGCTAAACCTTCAAAGGTGTTGGAATCTATTGATCCTATGGATGAATTGGTCTTCATGGATTGCATATCATCTTTTGAAGTTTGAGATTAGAAAGTGTAGAAGAATTGAGTCTTCATATGATCTAAAGTCTTGACCATAATTTCTTCTTCTGTTTCGTTGGGATACTTTCTTTGAATTTTTTTTCCAGGTTTTCCATAGACATTTGTTGGGAGTTTTGATCTCTAACATTGCTATTTTTATCTTCACTCATGGCTGATTTGATTAGAACAATTTTATCCTGGATGTCTTCTAAACTCATTTTATTCCACCATTTGTAGAAAAAATTTCTTTCTAGAATTGAGACATTAAACTTGTCACTAGAAATAGTGATAGTCCATCTCCAAATCCAAGGAATTTGAAACTTAGTGAAGAAAAGAAATGAACATTGTCCAGTTATCAAATTTGATGAAATATTTAACACTAGTGGACTATTTTCGCACCAAGGAGTATACAATTCATTTAATTCTTTTGGTAAAATTTCCATCGTAGGACCAAATTTAGTCTCCCAGACATAAAACCAATTTGGAATGAGTCTATTAGTCACGTCTGGATTAATTGAGAAAAACCAAGAATGTTTGTTCTTAGGATTTTGGTAATAAAAGGCTTGAGTGAAAGCCTGGACATAGTCCCCATAATTGAAATAAATATATTTTTCTTCGGCAATTCTTATTGTCTTTTCATCATTAGGGTTAAGACTCCATTCTCTAGGTGATAAGGTCTTATTAATGCGATATTTGCTGAAGTTTATGAAACTTTCAGGATTGTTGTTTTGATAATGATGAGTAAAAGTTGTTGATTCAGTAATTGCTAGTAATATTTCTAAATGTGGTCTTGATTTACCATGAAGGCCTGAATATCCTTTTGATTCGAGGTATCTTGTTTTGATAGCTCATCCATCATTTGGATTTATTTTTATATCCTCATCATTAATATACATCATTTTTTCTGTAACTGGATTCTAAAAAATAATCAATTACTTGTTCTTGAGGGGAGTCATTGACCGTAATTTCTTTGTAAGATATAATCTTTTTAGAAGATGAAGAGGAAGATATATCTTCATTTTTTGAGGTAGGTAATTGTTGCATATTTCTACCTTTATAGATTATAGTCCAATCCCTTATAAGGGGAATGTTTAATTCACTTTGGGGTAACATATTGTTACTCCCTCTTCCAAAACCTCGTCCATAATCGTAACATCTTCCTCCCCTAGATTAAGGTGTCATTTTTTCCTGTAAAAATTCATGGGCGAGGTAATCAGCAAGTGAATTATTTTCACCTTTAATATGTTTAATATCAAATTTAAACATCGATAGTTGAGATTGCCAACTAGCAAATATTTGTTTTATAACAAGATTTTTAACATCTTTTCAATAATTGATTTAGCAGAGCTGCAATCAATTTGTAATAATTTTTTTTTATTAAGTAAATCATCTTGAAATTTCGAAACACATTTTATAATAGAAAGCATTTCTTTTTTGATGGTCGAATATTTTGACTGAGTAATATTCTATTTACCAGAGATAAAACTAACCAAAACTTCTTTAGATGTTTCAGGCATAATCTATTTTAGAATTCCTCCATATCCTAAGTCTGAAGCATCTGTTTCAACTATTTTAAAATACTTGGGATTAGCCAGAGATAAGCAAGGCAAACATTTAACCTTATTTTTAATTCTTCAGACTGCTTGAGAATGTTTACCAGTCCAAGGGTCATGATTTTTTCTAAGCCTAGCATGTAATATACCAGTATCATTGGCAAGATTCTCATAGTAAACCGACAATATAATTAAGACTACCAAGAAACCTTTGTAATTGTTTCTTATCAGTAATGATATCAGGGAACTTAGAAGCAAATTCAATACTTCTTTGAATAGGAATAATAGTTCCTTGATCAATTTCATGATCTAAAAATCTAATTTTAGTCTGAAATATTTTCATCTCAGGAGCGAATATAACTAATCCATTATTCTTAATTAAACCCTTAAATATTTTTAAATGTTTCATATGTTGATCTATTGTTTAAAAAAAAACTAAAACATCATCAATGTAAACAATTATAAATTCCGTATAAGGAGTAAAAATATCATTCGTAATATTTTGAAATTCGGAAGGGGCGCTCTTTAGCCCAAACGGGAGGACATTTCATTCGAAATGTTCAAAAGACACAATGAAGGTCGTTTTATACTTATCATATTCACTAATCTGAATTTGTCAATAGCCATATTTCATATCAAATTTAGAAAAGATTAAAGCAGTGTTTAATCTATCTAATAAATCCTTTTTATTAGGAATATGATATCTAATCCATTTCAATACCTTATTAAGGGGTTTGATAACAAGTCTATAGACACAGCGTTCTCTTTCAGCAACATTATTAACATAAAAAGCAGTGCAACTCCAAGGAGAGTTAGATTTTCTAATTAAATCTTTCTCTAAAAGAGAATTTATTTCTACTTTACATAGGTTTAAATACTCATGATTCATTTGGGCTGGTCTGGCTTTAGTGGAAATCTGACTTTCATTAAAGTCATCAAGATAAGGTAAAGAAATAACATGTTTCTTTCTATCCCAAAAAGCGTTTGACAAATAATTACAAACTTCATCTTTAAACTGTTGATCAATTAATTTGATTTGTCCTTTTATCTCATCTTTATTAAGTTGTTCATTAATATTTAATAAACTAACTTCTTCTTTAAGAAAACCTAATTGTTTTTCTTTATTTAAGAGAATACTTTTGACCTC